TTCTGCAGTGTGATGGAATTGAGAACAGTCTGCTAGCTTTAGATCCCCAGTGACACATTTGTATCTTTCTATCTACCCTGGTCCCATTTAAATTGGCTACTTTCCTTGGAGTACATAGAAAGGAGGGATAACTAGTTTGGCTAAATTATGCCTCACTGGAAACCGTACAGCTATTGATGTAAATATCCTGCTAGTCCCAGACCATGCCAGGCAACCAGGGCAAGGTGCTTCCCCACCTCCGGAGCTGCAGCCTGGATTGTTCCAGTCACTGCTGGAAAAGTTGTGCACTTGTATCCCAGAGGGTGTCCGTTTCAGAACAGACAGAAATAACAAGGTAGTATGAGCCTCATTTTGCTGTCCAGCCTCTGTTTGGATCTGATATACTTGAGGTCCTCATAGTTGCAGCATGTTAAACTCTTCCTTTCTGCCATGTTGCCCTTTGATGTGGGATTAACTGATGGTCTTGGCTGAAGAGCTGGTGGTCAGCAAAAATATCTTATTATGAACGATTCTTGTAAAGGGAGATTGGTAAGAAGAGCCAGCTGGATCCATGCGTGTGTGTCATGCTTGGCATTAGTGTCGTCTATGTGATTAGAAAGTCTCCATGTCTCCTTTTATGCCTGTATGGTTTTCTAACTGAACTATAAATGCTACATTGAATCTGGAAGGGTGGTTTGGTTTGGGGTTTTTTATGGCCATTAGCTTTTGTCTGAAAATGGAAGCTCAGGAATAATGGGAGCCTTTATATGTTGCTACCGCTGATGTGTTTGCAGTTTGTCTTCCTGACTCACAATTGTCAGGTTGGGTTGGGTTGAGCAAAAATTGCAGCCCCCTTTGCTCATAACAACAGATTTATTGTATTTGTTATTGAGGATGTCTTTGGAAATGGAAATATACAAGTCTACTGGTGTAACCCTGTTAAAACTTTAGTGGTACTTGCCCCACAAGCCTGTCTTTACAGGAGAATATGCAGGACCATCAATGCATGCACACAGCATATTCTCTGTGTCTGTGTGTATGTGACACAAACCTCTTGGACCCTTAAAGAAGGAGAGGCGAAACCAGGGGCAACACATGTTACTTGGAAGTAGGCGTTGTAGCTCTTGTTGCTTGGATGGGCTTTGAAAGCCGTGTTTGCTTTTGCAGGGCTTTAAAACATCTTTTCATTCTACAGCTCTGCATCAGAAATGAACTCTTCAGTGTCTGAGAAATGTGATGAAGGTGGCTTACACATTCCTCGTTGCAATGTGGGAAGCCTAGGGAGACAGCCAATGCAACTTTTTTTTCCTGTAGATGTTCCCAGCACCGCTTATGCTATGGGGTAAGGAAAGAAGAGAGTGCAGGGAGAAGGAAAAATTGTGTCACCAGATCCTGAAGAAATTGATAGGAGTGGAAAAATCCCACATTTCCTTGGCTAAGCTACGGGAGTATAATAGTTGGCTGCTTTTAATGTGGTTGGCTTGTGAGGCAGTCTCCAGCCTGTGGGTTGTCACTTAATATGTGCTGATTAAATTCTGTAGGATCCTGTTCGTTTGGGCCAAAGAACATCTTTGAAAAGGTTATCTCTGCATGGATAACAAGCACATCATACTGCTGGGATCTCCCACATAGCAGGGACAGCTAGCTCTTTATTATCCATACATAACTAAGTCCTTACACGCAAGAACAAATACTGTGTTAGTTAAATGTTTCTTCACAGTAACTGAACTAACAATATGGTTTAGGGTTTTGCAGTGTATTAAGTTCTTACAAAATTGGTTTTTAATTAAGCAGCTGTTGTTTTGGCTCAGTTGTAATTCAGAATAATCTATCTGGGTGTATTATTTGCTTATATTGATACTCGAGTGTTGCATTTCAGTTGTGTTTTACAGTACAGCCAGAATGTCCTATAACCTTTGAAGGAAATATGAGGCTGCAGTAATTCAAAAATCCAGAGGCTTCTATAAAGTCCGGGGTGGGGGGGGAATCCACAGCTGCTCAATTACAATATACTTTGTTTAATCTTTGTTGGGGGGTGGGGGCCACAGGAGCTATTTCTGCTTCCTTGTATGTCATATCAAGTGCCTTAATTGTTTCTCTTTTATCTTTTGAGGATAAAGCTTAGAAAAATCTTTGGTTTATTTTTATCATGTATCCAGCAAGTGGAAGTGAATCTACTTTTAAAAGAAGCCTTTAAGTTTCTTGCTTATATTCAGGATAAGGTGAATCAATACAACTCCTTTTGTTGTGGCTTTCTAAGGCAGCAGGAAATCTGAGAGCTATTGTGTTCGTTTCAGTATCAGTTTAATGGTTTCCTTCAACACTGAAAAGCTCCTCGGAATACGCTTCAAGGTATTGTACTGTTGACTTGCTTGTGTTCTGTAAAGACCAAGTAAATACTTTTATGCCTTTCACTGGCAAAAGCAGAAGCTGTTTTTAGGGGGGGGAGAGAGGGGTGGTGTTGATATGCTGGGGAACAGCATCCTCGCTGCATGCGAGGCTGTTGTCACTCCTTCACCTGTTTAGTGTCTGTGGCTGAAGTGCTGTATATTTTTAGGCATGGTGCGCTTAGAGAGCGCAATCTTTGGGCTGGCTGATGCACAATCCCCTCCAAGGTGACTTCTCCCCTAGAGAGGTTAATGGGGTACTCAGCTCTGTGGAGTGCCAGAACAGAGGTTGCTCCTGCCTCTCCCTGCGTGAGCAGAACACAGCTGCCGCTTGTAGCTGCTCAAACGTGCTGTGAGTGTGCTTGCATACTTGTGTATGTGTGAAGAACCTTTGCCTATACGTGGCTATGAAATAGATGAAGATAAAATATCTAATGCATAGCCATTCCCATCCATTCATTTCTGTATGGTACTTATCGTTTGAGTATTTACATACAATTACCTTCATGTTACCAGCAGAGAATCAAGATGCAAATTGGAGGAAACTGCTAATCTGGGGCTCCTTATGTGAAAAGCTGAAAGCCTCTGTTTGTAAGTACATCAACACTTGAAGCATGCGTGCACAGATATGCTTTCTGTAGCTCCAAAGAGTTGTTCTTAGTGTCTTTGGCTGCAGCCCTGGTATGCAGTATTTCCGTGCTTTTCCACTCAGCATTTCCATGCAAATCGGGGGGGTTCAGCTCTCAGTTGTGTGGAAAATAAAACCAGTTATGGTGATTGCCTGTCTAAACTGTGGAGTAAATGGTTTGCTTGCCATCACATAGGTACATTGTGGTGAAGCCTCCTGTCATACTAATGCAGCAAGCAATTACTCGAATCTTAAAATAGTGTTTTGTTTCCCATTTCTGACTCATACAGAAAGGCAGCTTCTGCAGCAGAGTGGAAAGGGGCATGCAGACAGCAGCATCTCCTTCACCACCTGACTTTGCCTTCCTCCCCACGCAGGCCTTTCTCATATGCAGAATGAGGCAGAGCCCCCAGGGGAAAAATAGCATCTAATCACATCACTGGAAGCAGAGCGCTTACACACGCGCAGGTGCTGAAGCGAGGTCGCACAACCTCCAATTTTAGTTCTATTTCTGAAGCCTGGAGTACTCAAATGACATTTTTTCCTTCCCCCTTTCCCTCCTGTTCCCCAGCCTTGTTTATTATAAATGTAACTACTCCAGGCCCGATGATAGTGTCATGTTTATTCATAACTTGGTGAGCAGAAAGGACGGAAGCTAGTCCCAAATTGCAGATAGAATTTTATTAGCTTACCAAATCCACACACAAGGAGGACTGCAAGTGACCACTGCTAGAGGGTGAAAAGGCTTTCAGCCAAGTCCTGAGATATGATTCTGCAGGAGATGGTTTCACTGTTTGATGGGGGGTGGGGGGGGTGATAGTTAATAAATCTCATCTATCTTTCCTTAATCCTCTGTTGAGATAAAACTGAAATTTTATGTCATTAAGCCTCAGGTTAGAGGGACCATGTTTAACACGTCACTGTTCAAATTCTGTCAGAATCTTAGCATCATGCGTGCAGTTTAAAAAGCTCCTACAAACAGCCACGGATAGCCAGGACAGAGGAATGTTATTACCCCCACAAGCTAAGAAGCAAGGGGTGGCATTGCAGAAACTGGATTGTCCCTTTCCCCTCCCCAGAATTCTTCCATTTCTCAGAACTTGAGGTAGGAAGCGATTAGAGGGGAGATAGGAGGAGTGGTGCTAATCTTTGAGAAGTATTTTCCATTCGCTGCAGTGTCGAAGTGTGATAAAAATTTAAAGTCAGGTAGCTGAAGCCTGGCATTAGTCTCTGTCTGTTGTTCAGTGATAACGTTTCCCTGGATTTCTCCCAGACTCATTAAGCATCATCAGTCCCAGGCAAATCTAACAAGGACGTGTGTTTGGATGAGAGCTCTGCAGGCCTGAAATATGAAAGACCAATCGCACCAGTGATACAAACCAGCAGGGTTTTGTTGGATAGTTACAATGGTGCCTCACAATTTAGGGATTCAGCTAAGGGATTTTGTGGGCTGCTGTGCCAGCTGGGCTCTGGTAACTTCAGCTCTTGTGTATAGCCCAAGGTGAAGTTAAACTCTGCAATTTAGGTCAAACCTGTTTCACTGCTGTCAAAAATAAGTTGCTTTCCATAGTTCATGCACATGGCCAGCTTCCCCTTCGATAAGGTACTGAAAAATCACAGTAGCTTTCAGCTGCTTCTTACTCTCTACATTTTATTCCTCTATGCAAAGGTCTCTAATGTCTTTAGCATTTCCAGAGGAAGGAGGTGGGATTTTCCTTTCTTTCAGCAATAGGTCTGTAGTCTAAGCTACCATCTGAATTATTCATTTTATATGTAAACACCACTATTTACTATAAAGAGTGCGATAGCTGAAGTAGTACTTGCTCCATGTCCTTTTGGAATAATCTTTGCTGCTTGGCTAAGTTCTTCACGATACACATGTATCTTCCTTCTTTGCAATGTTTTTGTCTCCGTAAAGGATAAGAAAGAATGTGTTTATTTTTACCCATTTAGAAAGGGATAAATCTTAGATCAGATTTGGGACTTGAGTTCAGCATTCGGGTAGCAACACTTGCAAAGGCTGATCTAGGGAAGTGAAATTGGATTTTGTTATCTTGTGTTAAAGGCTCTGGTATGCTTGTGTCTTTAAAACATTAAAAGCTAAATGTCCTCAGATTCAACATCCTTCAGGCAGGAGAAACGCTAATGTGGATGCTGGCTACAAACCTACTTTGCTGTGAAACTCCATCAACTCATTAAAAATGGTTTTCCAACACCTTAAAGCTATTAATACCTTGACTGGAAAATTTGGTTTAGAGATATTACTGCACATCAATGTTGCATTTTTAATAACCCTGTTTAGCAAAGGGAATATTGGCTGGTTTATATAGACTCAAGTGGGTCGATAAGTGGGTAACAGGGCATGTGACATGCTGGAAAACCACTGACAGAACAATAACCAAGGTCACTCCATGTCGTTTCTGCAGAACTGTGGAGCCAAGTCTCCCTTGCCTACTCTTCCAAGCAGGAGAAATGTAAACTCCTCGTTGTAGATCCATGCGTAAGTGGGTTGACTTCAGAAGAGAAGGAAGACTCAGTGGCGGGAGCTGGTTACTATGGCTATATGCATTACTCACTCTAAATGGCGAAATCAAGCCGACAGTCATTGTATACATTAACTATATTTGTATATGAAGGAAGCTCATTGCCAGCAGCTGTGTGAAGGTGTCATGCTAAAAATCCAACTTTGTTCATGCCAGTCAAGGACTTAGTGACTTTCATGCATTTAAAGCAGTGCATACTGAAAGCAGGAAAACTTATGCACTGTTGTATTGGGTCCTTAGTCCTCCTTAAGCCTGTGGTTTTCTGTATGGGAAAGTGACCTCAGTTTCCTCACCTCTGTGCCCCTAGTGATCTTATAACAGCCTGGGTTGGAAGAGACCTCAAAAGTTCATCTTGTCCAACATTCTGTGGGAAAGAGAGCCTAGATGAGATTATCCAACACCTTGTCCAATCCCACCCTAAAACCTTCCAGTGATGGGGGCTTGACCGTGTCCCTGGGGAGGTTTTTCCACTAGGATGGAAACAGCAAGTCATGACTGGAAATTACAGAGATGCTAGCTGGCCCAGGCTCTGGTGCACGGGATATGAGAAAAACATCTTCTGCCCGTGCTGGCCTCAGAGTCCAGCTACTGACTTGTGCGACTGTCAGAGCCACTTTTCCCTTGCCAAATGTCACTGGAATCAGTTGGTGAGAACAAAAGTAACTGTTGATGGGGAGAGATCTGCAGTGTAACCACAGCCCTATTTTTTTTTGTTGTTGGCTACAAATTTAAAGTAAAATATTCCATCTTTCCTTTGGAAGTCGTCCACTGAGGCTAGTGTTTCTGTGGGGTATCTAGCAAATAGAGTTGCCTTATTTTGTTGCAGGGTGATTGCCAGAGCTGGGTGTTGTTTCCTCCTTTATACAGTGCTGCACAAACAGGTGAGTGTTTGGTAAGTGTTGGGGGGGGGGTTAAACCAAGTCTATTGCCACCAAAGGTTCTGGCTAAAGTTCTTGTCCCTGTCTCTAGTGCCCGGATTTCCATGTAAGTGGGAGCAGTGGACTTGGATATTCTCCAGTGATGGTTTGTAGCTTAGAGACCAAACTGATGGAGCACTTCTATTACCTGCTGTCAGCTGTGATTCAGCCTGTTATGGCTGAAGAGGTTTTTGCACTAAAAGTAGGTGCTGAATCTTTAATCCTAACAGAAAATAGAGTGTATTTGTTGTAGGCATTAAGGCTTGCCTTTTGAAAACGGACTGGATTGCTGCAATCTGCAAATCTTTTAATTAGCCTGAGTTCAAATTAATTAAAAACTGTCATTTAAAGAATTAGGCGTTTGTGGGTTTTACTGAGTTCTGAACAATCTTAATGGAATAAAATGCACTTTGAACTTCCCATATAATTAAAATAATTGAAATCATCTGCCTGCATGTATATGAAGAAATCAGCTAATAATTAAGACAAGTTATTAGTGATGGTTGTATTTAATGTTACATATAGAGTACAGCTAGGCTAAAAGAATCTTAAATAGGTCCGCCGTGATCTCGGAGATAATGCCACTTACTGTCATCTTCTGCACTGGCTGAAATGCCACTCTTATTGGAGAGACAGCACACGCATAGACTTTCACCAGTGGATTAACTGTGTTATTTAGCTTCAGTCTTTAAAGGTTCAAATGCTCCATGGTTGAGTAGCTTGCATGTTTCTGCTTGAAACGTCCCCCATGCCACTGAAACCTTGCCTGCTGGTGGGAATGAAGGAGAACCACAGAGAAAGCCAGAAGCTTGGTGCTGATAGGGCTCAGAGAGTGGGATCTCTGCACCATTCCTTTGTATGTGTTCGCCCTTTAGGAAAAGCCCTAAACCAGTTCATCTATTGCAAATTAGGAGCCGAACCTGTGAGTGGAATGGGCTGTTTTGAGGTGCCAGTCATGCAAAATAGGTGCAAGCCTCTTTAGAAGACTGGCAACTACTGGTTTTCATGCCTCTCCAGTAGCCCTGCCCTTAAAATAGAGCTCTGCTGTTTGCTCTGCAGCTCCAGAAGGCCAGGAATCTTGTGCAGGAGCACCAGCTGGTTCTCCTCATTCTGTCTCCACGCAGCCCTTTTGAAACAGGAACTTCCTGAAGAGGAGAAAAGGAGAAAAAAAATAAAGCCTGACAAAATGAATGAGAGCTACTGATTACTGATGAGTCAAAAAGGTGGAATCGGAGCTTGTAGGAATACAAACACGTGGATACCTTAGTCATAGCCCGTCTCCACTACAAAGTGACATTAAGACTTTTGGAACTCCCTAACTATTTGCTGCTTAGTTTAGTTGGGTTTCTTTTTGTCTAATCTCTTGATTTCTGGATCAGTGTTTCTTGGTTGGAGGCTAATGGCAGCATCATTATCATATTCCTAACTGTAATTTTATCCTTCGTGTGTATTTTTCTTCAGGTTGAATACACAAATACTGGACTAGATTTACTTAGGCTGGCTCATCAGAAACACTGTTGGTGTAGGAGGATGGTATATCTTAATAATCTGTTCCTATCATCAGTTCATGCAGAATTTTCAGCTTCTATTTTATTTAAGGGCCCTCCTCCTTTACGGATAGGAATATTCTCTCTTAGCAAGTGCTGGGTTCCTTTTCTGGTATCTCAGATCTCTAAAGAAATTTTGAGAGACACCACAAGTGCTGGATCTTGAGAATGAAGAGTTACATGTCAGTGCTTAATACATTTTTTCAGGTTGTAAAAACACCCAAGGTAGTGTGTCCATGCTGTTGTTTCAGTGGGGAGTTTATTTTGGGGGAGGAGGCGGTGTCTTTGGGGATAGTAATGAGTAAAGAAAGAGTAAGATTGAAACAATATCTGCTAATTATTCTTTTTTTCTCCATATATGGCTGTCTTGTAACTGCAGAGCCACAAGCAATGAACTCTCCTGGTGCTCTCCTTCCATGTGTTTCGTGGGAGTCCAAGAAGAGAGTGGTGAGGAGAGAAATGATGGGCCAGCTCCTAGATTATCTTGTGCTTAGGTAAGGGCAGGGAGAGAAAGGAGGTGATGCTGAGGAAAATGACCTCATAATATGGATAAGTTAAGGCATAGCTGAATGGTTGGTATTTGGCTTGCTCCTTGAATGCACACAGTTACAAGCAACCCTCACATCTGGCTGAGGTCCTTAAGTCCTTATGTGTGCCCTTGCACACATGCTCTCCTTGCTCAGCCTGTTGCTGCTGAGCTGGACAGTGGAAGTCAGACTTGAACCCTATCCAGTGAAAAAGCACTGTGCAAAAATATCTTTCCTTTGTTAATACCTTTTCACTTCTGGTTCTGATAATGGTGGTGGGAGGCACTTGTTCGAGATAGCTGGGTTAAAGCAGGCATTGCTGACTCCCAGAGAGCTTTGCAATTGTGAAGGCACTTGGGCAGCCCTTTATCAGTGGTGTAGTGTCAGAGGCCTGGAACTCAGCTCAGCAGAGCCCCGTGTGACATGTCACACGTTGTTACTGCTAACAAACAGGCTGTGGTATGGGGAATACAAAAAGAGTGGGAGATTTCATTAGTCTTTTCAGAGCCTCCTTTCCATAAGCTGTACAAAAACGCTCTTTCGTACTTGTTTGTTGTGTTTTAATGAGCATTAAAAACCCCACCTTGAAGGTGTAGTCTGAAAGACCATGTCCTCTCCAGTTAAAATTATTTGGGTGTTCTTTTCTTTGAACTTGATGCATACTCCTATCAAGTTGGTAAGACCTGTCTGCATTGCATGGGTATGGGATAGATTTGGTGCCTGCTGTTGCATTCAGTCATATACAGCATTTGGTTTATTATTTCTGGGGAATGGGTGTATAAGTCTGCTCTCTGATTCTCTCACTCATTGAAATAAATTCTACTGATGGACCTCACACTCCAATTTTCATGCTTTCTTCGCACTGAGACACAGACACCCTGTGGCAATAAAAAACTGTTAAGTAGTTCAGGTGCATTGAAGTGAGTTTTCTCATTGCTGCAAGTAGCTAAAATTCAAGTCTTTCTCCAGTGAAGAGTAAGCCAAATATTTCTGAGATGTAACTTGAGACATAGTGGGTATTGCTATTATATTTGAATGTGTCTACCTGCTCTGTTTTGAACACTAGTGTTATTGCTCCTTATACTTTCAGTATCTAAAATCTATCCTTCTTGTTCTTGATTCAGAATAAACTGGCCATTAGTATTTACCCAGGTAAACTTTCCTCATTTTAAACCAAATAAGGGTGAAAGAGGTGACATATCTGGTGAGAAGCCCATCCTCACACGGAGAGGAGCGAGTCTTGCCAAATTCTCACAGATCTATTGCCCTATGATTTTACCTGGTCCAACATGACCATGAGCAGACTGCTTAGACCCTCTTTGCAGGTATCAGCTTTGTAACTCCACACAGAGAAAGCAGTGGGAATTAAATGCCTCATTGGTTATATACATGTAGCCCCTACCTTTGCTTCAGCCAGCTTCCCTTTCCCATTCAGTTATAGTTGAATGCAGGTATCCAGACCATGCTGGCAACATAGTGGATATAATCTGCACTTAAGCTCTGCAATTCCTTCTCTATGGTTCTGGTGCACATTGGGGTGAGGATGTGAGGGGAGACTTTTCTGCTCTGGGAAATCCCTGTTCATCAATTGCAATGCAATAAGAAGGACCAGAGTGTCTACCAGAATCAGTGTATCTTGACAGGCAAGAGGCAGGGTAAACCAACTTAAGAAATCAAGCTTCCTTCCCCCCAGCCTACAGTTTATTTTCATACCCCAAAAGAACCTTTATTTTTTGTCAAAGTTCTGGGTTAAGTTTTGCAGCAAAGCCTTCTGCTCTAAATTTTGATTCTCTGAAAAACATTGGGGATGGTTTTTAATATGTGTGTGTATAGATGTATTTCTGTAGTTGCCCTACAAGAGTTATTGTTAGGATCCCATTCTCTCCTCTGGCAGAGGCAAGACACAGGCACCAGACCTGCAGAACAGCATCGAGAAAGGTGAGCAGAATGCTTTCTTGTGAATAGATTTGCATAGGTAGAGGTTGCTGCTGGAGAGAAGTTTCTGTGGGCCAGGCTGGATGGATCAAAACTTGATGTTTTCTGTTGAGTGAGCTTTGATGCAAATCAAACGAGTTAGGCAGCTGCACTGGTGGTCCTGTCAAATGGGCTGTTCACTGGTTTCATGCTGCTGAGCTATTGGTATTTAAAGCAAAGCTTCAGAGGCCCCTGCTGCGGCAGGGCATATTTCCCATTCTTGCTTGGTGTTACTGCACCGGTCCAGCTTTACATCATCATGCCAGATGTGCTATTTCTTTTCTTCTTTCCCTTTTCTTTTCTAGACCATTGTGTGAAACCGAAGTGCCTAAAACTCTGTATGTGGCAGGTACTTTGGCTCTGTGCAGTAAGCCTCAAGCATATCTTCTGGGTTTTTTCCCCTCCCTATCTCCTTTGGGTTTTTTTTTCCTGTAAAGACAAAATATGTATTTCAATTACTTAAATAAATTAATTCTGTTACAACAGGATTAGCTGCTGTTGGGAAGCCAGTGGGACTGTAAGGGGAGTTATGCCTATAACCTCATTAGAAATCTCAGCTGCTGCTCGCTTGTGCAGCAGAGGCAATGCCCAGCTGACCTCGGCACTCATCTCTGCATGGGGTTTGGTCTAGACATGTAGTGCAGCCTTTCTCCAAAGGGCTCTGGGTTTCTCTGGGTGGTCCAGCATGGCATTTTCTCTCACCCTTGCCTCCCTCTTGTAACTCTGACTTCCCAAACAGTGCTGAAGTAGTGGGACTTTGCAGGAGCCCAGTGTGCTGCAGCCCCCCCCCCCTTTCTGATCTCTCCCTGCTGTGCTTTTTCAGAAACGACTCTGTGGTTAGACAAGATGTGCTCCTCCAGCACAGCTGAAATGCCCTGTGCAAAAAAGAGGCTGAGTCTAAAGTGCTGCGGGGGCTTTGCCGGTGGCAGGATTTCAGCTCTAGCGTCAGCCTCTGTCTCACTGGTGCTGAGTCTGAGTAGCAGGAGTCTGGTGGAGTGAGAGTGGGAAGAACAGCAGTGGTAGAGGCTGCCATGGCTCAGCTGCCACGGATCCATTCAGCAGGTCTCCAAGGGAGAAGTTGTTTTTATACAGTATTAAGCTCTGAGTGTGGAGCATCATAGCTGGGAGGGGAGAGCTTAGAAAATCAACTTGTTTTCACACTTTTAATTCTATATATGTGTGTGTATATATGTTTAGATATACACACAGACATATAAATATATATGCATGTGTGTGTGTATATATACTTACATGCATACACCAGCAGTTGCTGCAGAACGTTGCTGCTGAAGAGAAGGATGTCAT